TTATCAACTATAGTGCAGCTCAAAAGCCTTGCACCATTTTTTGTATTTTGAATTGTGTATTAATACTGAAAAACTCTTGACGATGAAATACAATAAAAAAAAGAAAACTTCAATATTTAGAAAAAAATGAAATAAAATACTGCAAAATGATATTGTTGGTATAGAATACTTCCATGGTTAGTCAACCACGAGAAGCACAAAGTATTCAGGAAAATTTTCATTTTATCAGACTATGTAGAGTTTTTTTCTCGGACCATTTTGGTAAAAAAGCATGTTGAATTTCATTGAGAGATGACGGTATTATAGTCAAAATATTAAATACTATGAAATACCGTGTATTCCAAAATGTTTGCAACATAAATTGTTTTGCAAATATCTTTCCATAAATAGATAATTAAATCTAGATTCTTCTTTCAAAAGATGCGCCGAGAAAAGCTCTACAAAAACGATAAGAAAAAGATCCAATTGACTTCTTTTCATGGCTTCTTTCATATGCAAAATGAAAAGAAAATAAACTACATGATAGTGTTACTTTCCACAGTATTTAACATAATAAAAATGTTTGGAAGACTTTTATATTGTGCATGCATCTTGACATGAAAAAAAACATAGCATCTTCATTTTTTTCCAAAGATGCACCGTTGAAAGCTCTATAAAATCGGTATAAACAAATTCCTATTGCAAAACAAGAAGTCTTCCAAACATTGTTATTATCATTTTGTCGTTTTTTATGTGATTTTTTTCTTAATTTATTTTATATTCAAGCATTTTTCGTCCTAAACATATATATATATATATGTCGTATCGAAGTTACACCGGTCGACGAAGTTATAACTTCGACGCTCATATTCATCGAACTTACAACTTCGACAGAGAAACTTGTCGAAGTTATTTTGAATTCACTTATCAATAAATAATTTATTGAACTGAGTATTCTTCTGTTGAATATATGATCAAAAAATAAAATTTTTACTAATAAATATTAATTTTTGTAACAATATTGTGGAATAAATGAACATTTATTAGGAAAAATTATATTTTTTGATCATATATTCAACAGAAGAATACTCAGTTCAATAAATTATTTATTGATAAGTGAATTCAAAATAACTTCGATACGACATATATAGATACTACTCGACCTCTACTATACAGCATATAATCAAATTAAAGTAATATTGTGCAGTTTTAATACACGACTAAAAACAAAAAAAGTAATGCAAGATTTTTGAGCTGCATTGTAAAGTGCTGAGTAGAGGTTAGAAGAATAAAACTTTACAGCAATTTTCAGTGATTTTAATAGTAAGTATAGAACAGCGCTGATAAAAGCACTTTCTAAGCTGTATTAAGCTGTTTATTTGAAAAAAGTCACCTTCAGCAGCTTAACAAAATGTAAGCTTTTATAAGCGCTTATAAGTAGCTTACCAAAAGCAAAACTTTTTACACGGGAACCAGATAATTATTGTCGTCATTCATCAGTTGTCTGTTTTTTCTACCTTCTCAACCTAAGGATTAAGGTTTGCCATTTTCTGCTGTAACGCGGCGAGATTGGAAAGGCAGAAAATTGTTGTTCAAAGTTAATGTGAAAGTATTGAGACCTAACGGATTCCTTTTTTTTATTAATCATCTATAGAATTATTGGTAGAGTCACAAATGCTGTCCACACAAACACGAATTCGAAATGATTCAACTACGAGAGAGTTTAGATGAAAACATGTTAGAAACTTAGGTCAGTTATTTTGCCAGTATGAGGCGGGAATTGTAATTTCGCCAAATGTGAGTTTCGCCAATTAGCAAATTTCCCCATGAAATTCACCATTTTGAACGGATTGAGTTGTCACTCAAGTATAATACCTGATATACTAACCGATCATATTGAATCAGTTAAGATTTTCTGGAACTATAAAAGTGAAAAAGTATAATTGGTGAAACTCAAATTTGGTGAAATTCCAGAAATCCCAAAGGCATCTGTATTTTAATCAACATTTTCGATCGATTTTTCAAGCAATTTCTGTGAAAAACTTCATATTTTTGCTTATTGTGGTTGGAAGAAAACATTTTTTCGACAGTTTTTGTTTTTAGAAAATTGATTAAAAAGGCTTCAAAAAGCATCTGAAGAGAATCTATGATATAATATTCTATTTGTCTCTATATATTCTTTCGAAAGGTGAAAATCATAGCTTTCTATCATGTTTTTATCAAATGTTATTCGAAAAATACCCATCCACCTTTTTTCTTGAAATGGGTATTAATTTTCTTTTTTTTTTCTTTTGACTTCGTATATAATGTTTTTAGATACTCCTGATACATTGTCCACTCTGGCTTGACATAAATAACAATGAATTCATCATCGACAATGTTAACAACTGAGTTGAATCTAATTCAAGTGAACATCGCCCGTTACTTTCTGGTACCCACTTATGTTCTTGGTAATTTAGGGAGCTTTGCGAATATAGCTCTTTTCTCTCAGCGTAATCTTCGGTCGAATAATGTTTGTACATGGTACTTCATCAGTTTGTCATTAGCGAATATATTCGTTCTCAAGACTGGTGGTGTAACTCGAATGCTTTCCCTTTTAATCAATTTTAATCTGGAGACTACATCGATTATATTCTGCAAAATTCGTAATTATTGTATTCAGATGGGAGCAGTAGTAGGACGTTATTTTATTTGTCTGATTTCGATTGAACGATGGATGGTGACGTCAAGAAACGAAAAGATTCGTCGAATGAGTTCTCCGCAAATTGCTAGACGTCTTATTGTAATTGGTCCAAGCATTATTACTCTTCTTATTATACATGTTCCGATTGGATTTCAAATCAGCAATAAGCGATGTTACGCATCGTTGAATGAAAGATATGTTTTATTCTTCAATATCTACAATATGACGATTATCACAGTGCCAGTTATCGTAATGACATTATTTAGCATTCTTATTTTTGTAAATGTTCGAGAGAGTCAACGTCGTGTCGTCCCAATTTTCTCCGTGAGGTCCAATATTCAACGGGCAATCATAGTAACCAATGAAGTTAGTCAACAAAGAGATACTCAATTCGTTCGATTAGCTTTAATCCAGGTTCTTACCTTCATGTGTTTTACTATTGGGTATGGAATTTATAATGCATATGATTTTGCGACAAGTTCAATGAAGAAAAGTTCTGATCGACAAGCCATCGAAGCATTTATCAGCGGAGTAGTGGTCAACTTCAATTACGTAACTGCTGCGGTAAGATACTAACAAAAAAGCAAACATTGAAATCTTATTTGTTGAAACTCGTCTTTTAGATCCCATTTTTCTCATATACATTGGTATCGATTAAATTTCGGAAAGATTGCATTACAACATTTCGTCGTTATGGCACAATTATTCTGCGACGCTTTGGGCAATAAATCATTTGTTATCACCACACTCAACTACATACCATACAACTTGACTCAAGGGTGGGTATGGATGTGGTTAGAAATAAAGAGGAAATCCACACCCACATCCCACCCGAGCAGAAGTTTTATTTTAAATAAATTTTAAAACTTAAAGAGAGTTTACAATTTTTTGCAAAAAATATCCAAACAGATGTAACATCTAAATATTTCAAGAGACATGAAAATAATTTCACAAACGTAAGAATTTACTAACCTGTATATATTATGTTTGCGGTGGTTTTTTTTATAAAAATGAATTTCTTGACTCGACTCAACTCGACCCAGATCTAACTTCAACTTCAACTTCATTTCTATAGTCTTTTGTGAAACACGATCTGAAAGGAGTGTTGAAGTGTTTAGGGGCAGAAATTTGCGCCTCCCCGCCCCCCCCCCCCCCCCCCCCCTGCGCCCCCCCGGTGCCAGCCCTCAGCCGACTCCGGCTGGCGC